ATTATGGGGATCCTGGAGACTTGTCATAACAATTCAAGAAGTTTACAAGAAATAAGTATTAAAGGCAAACCATCACTGATGCATGTTAATTCCAGATCAACTTATATGGAATATTTCCATTACTGCATAACTGACCAGCTGGATTGTTTTCTCTTGTCAAGGTTGAGGATCTGTTCCTGACTTTTGCTAAGAAGGCATCTGCCTTCAACAGTTGGTTTGAGAATGCTGAGGAGGACCTGACAGATCCCGTGCGCTGTAACTCGCTGGAAGAAATCAAAGCGCTGCGAGAAGCTCACGACGCTTTCCGTTCCTCACTCAGCTCTGCCCAGGCTGACTTCAACCAGCTGGCAGAGCTCGATCGCCAGATCAAGAGCTTCCGTGTGGCCTCCAACCCATACACGTGGTTTACTATGGAGGCTCTTGAAGAAACCTGGAGGAATCTGCAGAAAATTATCAAGGCAAGTCAGAGAGAGAGACACTGTCTTTGTAGTTTATGAACTTTGGAGTCTTTCCTGGAACTGACCAGCTGGATTGTTTTCTCTTGTCAAGGTTGAGGATCTGTTCCTGACTTTTGCTAAGAAGGCATCTGCCTTCAACAGTTGGTTTGAGAATGCTGAGGAGGACCTGACAGATCCCGTGCGCTGTAACTCGCTGGAAGAAATCAAAGCGCTGCGAGAAGCTCACGACGCTTTCCGTTCCTCACTCAGCTCTGCCCAGGCTGACTTCAACCAGCTGGCAGAGCTCGATCGCCAGATCAAGAGCTTCCGTGTGGCCTCCAACCCATACACGTGGTTTACTATGGAGGCTCTTGAAGAAACCTGGAGGAATCTGCAGAAAATTATCAAGGCAAGTCAGAGAGAGAGACACTGTCTTTGTAGTTTATGAACTTTGGAGTCTTTCCTGGAAGTTGTCATCCCAGATAATCAGTACAAGAGTTTGTCGCTACACTACAGATGGAAATATCTCAAAATTAGGGAGCAAAGGAAAAAAAATAATCCATTAGCTTGTTTTCATGGTCTTCCATTTGCGATCTTTCAAAAGACAAAGCACTTGTCCCTCGCTTCCAAACTATGAAATATTTAATGTCCACGTAAAGGACAACAGTGAAGTAACTGCTCGTTCAATTCCAATTCTCAAAACTTCAGTAGGAGTGATCTGTGTTGTCACCTCAGCTGATTTTGTCTAGGTCCCCAGGAGACTCTTTGAGCCCTCAGTCTTGTTTGGAGCGTCAGACCTGTGCTGCTCTGAACAGCTGGACAGCTTGTAGTTTGAGGGTTTTACTACAGGATGAGGACAATCAGATTATGATTTGAAAATCATATTTTTTTAAAAAAATAATTTGAAATTATTTTTGTTTGTTTCTCAGGAACGTGAATTGGAGCTGCAGAAGGAACAGCGAAGGCAGGAGGAAAATGACAAACTGCGGCAGGAGTTTGCTCAGCATGCCAATGCTTTCCACCAGTGGATCCAGGAGACCAGGTACAGTGTGTCTTCCCAGGAGCTGCCCTTGGAGAATTTTTTAGCCAATATTTGTATCCACCCTCCATCTCTTTGGTCTCTCTGAGTTGTAAATGTCTCCTGCTGGAAAACAGTTACTCAGGACTTGTTCAGTTCCTGCAGCTGGGATTTGAGGGAGGCCCCATTAGCCACAGGGAGGAGGAGAGCCCCAAAACACCAGACTTCAAAAATGTTTCTGCTTCTGAATGAATTTTCCTGCAGTAATTCCAGTTATCCAGGACTTCAGTCTTCTCTAGTTGCTCCTGAACTAGTCTGCAGTTCAGCTGGGGGTGGGGAACAAGTAGCTCAAAGCAGAGTGTGTGAGATGCCGGTGGCGGTTCCGTTAATGCTCCTTTTGTATAGAGCAGTAAATTAGAAATCTCACTAGAATTTCAACAGAGAAAGGAGCTTAGGAGTACTTTGTAATGACTTACCCGGGGTGCTGTCTAATGATATCCTTGTCCAGGGAGAGGGAGTAAAGATTTAACCACAGCATTAGAAATAAAAAAATGTCAAGATTGAGAATTACAGTGAACTGAAGAGCAGGTTTGTAGAAAACAGAGGTGACGGTGCTCAGACAGTGCCGTGGGGCAGTGCTGACACTCCCGGGTTGTGGTTCAGAGGGGGTGAGTTCCGGTCTCATGTGATCCTGTGATTCTCTGTCTCTGTGTGTTTACAGATAGTTCTGTATGTGTCTTCATGAAACAATGAAATATAAATATGATTTTTAACTTTTTGATGTTTGCTTCCCACCCGAATCTCTGTCCCTCTCTTACTGTCTTGTCTCTGTCCTGCTGCCTGATGTTTGGATCTTCACATTCCACAGGACTTACCTGCTAGATGGGTTAGTATTGAATTTTATATCCTTAAACGTTTGGTGGTGTGTTCTGCTCCGTCTGCGTGTCGTCTTCTCTCACTACATTGCTTGTGAAAGCTGCGCTGCAACCCCTTTTATTTGAAAAGAGAGATCTCTGGCTGAGGTGCACGGACACAGGAAACAAAATTTTGCAGTAGATGAAGTGTAAATCAGCAGAAACATAACAATTTCCTAGTCAAAAGCAGAAGAAATTGGGGTAGCCAATGGGAAATGAATGGGTAGCCACTGGCATACCATGGAGGTCCTAGCTTAGGTCCTTGCTTTCTCTGAGGGCTTGCACAAGAAAAAGGCTCTTACTCTGATGAGATACATGAGAAATAGAATAGTCTGCCTTTGGGAAGGAGCTGCCATTCCTAGCTTCCCAGTGTTCAGAGACTTGCTTAGTGAAATAAACGTCTCGGTTACAACTGTTCTCAAAGCTCCAAAGCATTGGCTGTTTCTGGTGAGGAGGAGGGAACATTCCTATGAAGAGGCCTTACTGAAATTACGTGTCTTCAAACCTGTAGCATTGCAAATACGAACTGCCCGTTCGTTAATCTGCTGCATGACCATGCCCCAGAAAGATTATATTCTTGACAGCCAAAACCTAAAGCTGCCAGGAGGACCCCACAGGCCCACCAGGGTCTGCAGGCAGACCAAAACCTAAAGCTGCAGGAGGACCCCACAGACCCACCAGGGTCTGCAGGCGGCTGGACATCTACTGGTTTAAATCCACTTTGTGTCCATGGGGATAGTTCCCGATGAGGACACAGACTGGTCATTCGTCAAGAAAGGAGTGCAAAGGAAATAATAAGATCTTTAAATGTCTCCAGACTGTCAAACCCTCTCAGAATGTCTCTGTCCATTTAAATTTCTTCAGTATTAGGAGTCTGCAGCACAATGGGAGCTTTGTAATAAGGCACAGTATAAAATGCTAACGAATGGTGCCCGGGCCTGGTCAGTGGCCTGTGTGTCAGCCCTGGGTGAAGTGCTGGAGAGGAGGCCGGCCCTTCCTCACAAAGAGAGAGAAAAGGCTTTTCATAATAAAAGGGTGGAATCTTCGCTGATAACTGTGCTTTTTCTTTGCTCTGTAATGATCACAGCATCCTTGTTCTGCTCTTTCTGCCAGATAAAAATAATTTGCCCCATTTTTAATGGAACCGAGCAGATTTTCCTGGAACGGATGCTGAATTCTCCGCTCCTTTGTACCGCAGGGTTGTAGATTCGTTCTGGTACCCAAGAACGAGCGAACAGAAAGGAGCCATTTACTAAAAGACGTAGGGTCAGAGTTGGAGATCACCCTGCCAAGCGCTTTTGTTGAACCAATTACCAGGAGGCTGCTGATATGCCGGGCAGAGCTTGTCCTTAATTCCGCATGAATAGATTAAAAACACAGATTTAGCTCCGGCATTGGCCTTCCTTGGCAAGAGGGCAGGCAGAGCCTCGGGGAGGTTTCAAGACGAGAGTTGCCGTGTACACACTGTGCTTTTCAGAGCTGCTTGTGTGTGCCCAGCGCTGCCAGGAGGGAGAAGAATTTGGAGTTTAGGAAGAAGAATGTCTTTAAAGAATCTGTAGATGAGTGAACTGCAAGGCTTCAATTTGTCTCTTAGCGAGACTCACTTTTTTGTGGCTTACATGAAAATAATAACAGATTATTTTTGTGTATGTGCAACCGGTGTTTTCTTTCTTTGAGTACTTGCCTGCGTTTGCTGCGAGGTGCTGCTGGCTTGGAGTGTGGCTCCACTGCACCGTGGAGCCGTGGCCGTGTTTGGGTGTGTTCTTTCCTCTGTTCTTTTTCTCCCTTTTGGAATTTACTTGATTTCTTTTCTTTGACTAGCATAGCATATCGTCGTGTCATTCGTGTCTATCAGTATGAAGTTGGGGATGATCTATCTGGAAGGTTTTTTTCCTCTTATTTTCTTACCTCACTTTGGTTTTCAAATGCACCCTTTAATTCCAAGGCTCGCTTTCCTTCCGACTAACTCTCACGGCTTAGAGATGCTTGGAGGTTTGTTTCCCTGTTGACTCTTTCCGTGCCACAGCTGGTTCCCAGATCCCTGCGCAGGGCTCTGGGTGTGTGCTTCATCTCTTAGATGTGTGTTGAACCCGAGCCTTAACCCCGTGGTGAGAAAACACCCAGACCTTTGGTGCGTTTGCATTGCTGCAGAGTGATTCAGCGCTTGGAACCCCCTTTTGGGGAAGCTCAAAAGCCTGTAGGGTAGATTTCAGTGGGGATGAAAGCCCAGTTTTAGTGGCTTTAAATACCAATGACTTGGATTTTAGGAACTTAAATATGACAGGGTCAAAAGTGAGGACAGCCCACCTGCACCGTGCCCAGACGTGCTGCCCCTGTGCAGCCTGTTCAGTGTGAAGTCTCCCCGTACGTGTTGGAAGGACAGAGGGTCTTAAACGCTGCAGCTTGGAGGTTGCTTGGGAACTTTGAGGGGGTGAAAAAGCAGCATCCAGAGACCTCCCTGCAGTAGGTCTCGGAGGCCATCACCGCGGGGGCTGCAGGCTGCCTAGAAGCTCCATGTGGAAATGGGACTGAGGAGCAGCTGTACCTCAGTTTCTCTGGGCACAGGATGGGAGAGGTGGGGTGGGAAAGACAACTCTCCACCAGCTGCTGCTGTGTAGGGGAGGGCTGTGAATTCCTGCACAGATTATGCCATATTAAGATTGCTTTTAAACCAAACCAGTAGTTTTCAAGGTCTTTTCCCCTCATTTTATCCCCACGTAACACACCTCTG